ATTTTGTGTCTCTTTGAAGCCATTTTGTGTCTCTTTGTGGTCGTTTTGTGTCTCTTTGAAGTCATTTTGTGTCTCTTTAAGTCATTGTGTGTCTTTTGAAGTCATTTTGTGTCTCTTTGTAGTCATTTTGTGTCTCTTTATGGTCATTTTGTGTCTTTTGAAGTCATTTTGTGTCTCTTCATTTTGTGTCTCTTTTAAGCCATGTTGTGTCTCTGGTCATTCTGTGTCTCTTTGAGTTATTTTTTGTTTTTTTTGGTCATTTTGTGTCTTTTGAAGTCATTCTGTGTCTCTTTGTAGTTGTTCTGTGTCTCTGTGGATTCATTTTGTGATTCTTTGAGGTATATCTGTGACTCTTTTCAGTCATTGTGTGTCTCTTGGTAGTTGTTTTGTGTATCCTTTAAGCCATTTTTTGTCTCTTTGAGGTATATTTGTGTCTTTTTTGTTATTCTGTGTCTATTTGTAGTCATTTTGTATCTCTTTGTGGTTGTTCTGTGTCTCTTTGAGTTATTGTTTTGTCTTCTTTGGTCATTTTGTGTCTTTTGAAGTCATATTGTGTCTCTTTTAGGCACATTTGTGTCATTTTTGACAGTTTGTGTCTCCTTGAAGTCCTTTTGTGTCTTTTTGTAGACATTTTGTGTCTCCTTGTAGAGCTTTGATTATGTCATAAATGTTGTCAATAATCAGGATGAGAACAGACTGACAGGAATAGAAATATTTATGGCTTTACTCTGGTCTTTTAAAGATCAAAGTCACTGGTTTTCCCCCATAGAGACATTCCTTCAGTCCAATAAACATGTCAGTAAAGACGCTCAGTCATCCAGGTCATTGTAATCATAAATGCTATATCGTAGGCAACTTGACTTGCTTGCATTTCCTGAATTTCAAAAAGAAGTCCGGTTGCCTACGATATAGCACTTATGAGTCCAATAAACAAGTCTGCATCTTGCTGTGTTTCCGACATGTGGCCTCTGCTTTCCTGGACTCTAACCTGGGTGCAGAGTCCACAGACTCACAGCAGACGACTGTTGCTGTGCGGGGCAATTCCCAAATGGAAAAGTATCATCCGGAGGGATGGAAGAGCTCAACACTCTGCACTTGAAGAAAACACATGCATGTAGACAAAACACCAGCTGATGATGTAAATCTCTTTAACCGCATTTGTGTCGCATTTGATAGTTTTTCTTGACTTTGTAAACAGTTGTCGGAACAACTCAAGATGCCCTCACTTGCTTATATCAATCATGGAAAGTTTGACCGTGGCAAGTGAGCAGACTTTATCTGCTGTTAAGGCTGATATAAGCGAACCTTTGTATGAGATTACTTCATCCGATTATAAACTTTAAGCATTCAATCTGCGTCATTCCTACAGTTTGTTAGTGGAGAATAAATGGTGGAGCTATTGGCTACTTACAAGAGTTGTTTTTTTTATTAATTAATAATGTTTTCAGTTTATTTTTGCGCCTCTGGAAACTTCTGTTGCAGCATTTCTGTATTTCCTTGTGTTCTCTGTGGTTTGTCTTTATGTCATGTCTGTTGAAACATTGGCAATTTTTTTTTTACTTGCTTCTGTTCATTTGTATTTTGTTAATTTTCATTTCCATTGGTTTTTTTTTTTTCAATATGATGAAATTGTGGTTTCTTTAATGGCTGTGCATTAATCCATGGGTGAATTATTACGTAGACAACGTCCCTGTTGTAATTGTGGTAAAACTGTTTCTTTTTAAAGTCATTTTGTGTTTCTTTGTAGTCATTTTGTGTCTCTTTGAATCCATTTTGTGCCTCTTTAGAATAATTTTGTGTCTTTTTGAAATTATTGTGTGTCTCTTTTAAGGCATATTTTGTCTTTGTTGGTTGTTTGTGTCTCTTTGAACACGTTTTGTGTCTCTTTAGTCATTTTGTTTCTTTTTAAAGTCAGTACTGTCTCTTTGCAGTCATTTTGTGTCTCTTTGAAGCTATTTTGTGTCTCTTGGCAGTCATTTTTGCCTTTTTGAAATCATTGTGTGTCTCTTTTAAGGCATATTTTTGTCTTTGTTGGTCATTTGTGTCTCTTTGAACACGTTTTGTGTCTCTTTGTAGTCATTTTGTGTCTTTTGTGTTTAATCAGACAAATTAAAGTTGAAGCTGTCCATGCGTGATGTCCAGAGAGCGCACAGAGTGGGGGTCAAAAATGTAAACGCAAGGTATCCAAGAATGGTGGCAATTAAGTTTTCAAACTACCAAACAAAAGTAGAAATACTTTTGATACTTTGATGAGAGTATATTACACACGAGACAGAATAAATAAATTTAATAAAAAGATATCAAGTACTGTATAAAATGTAAAATAAAGGAGGATTCCATATATCATGCCTTTTGGAAATGCAATAAAATTAAACCCATATGGATAGAAGTGAAACAATGGATTGATGATACATATAAGGTAAGTATAAACTTAACTCCATCACTTTGTCTAATCAACAACTCACATGGTGATCCCACACTGAGGTACCCTAAGAGCTGGATAGTTTTATTATCATCACTAGCATTAAAGAAACTCATACTGCACCAGTGGAAAGACACAAAACCTCCCTCTATACACCATTGGAAACGCTTCATGTTGCACATTCTAAAAATGGAGCAACAGGTGGCTAAAGATAAAAGGAAAGCACAACAATTTGATAGTGTTTGGACTACAATGATTAATGCTCTTGTAAAGAAATAGGAATGTTTACTCATCTTGTCTGTCTTTTATTTACCCCTCCATTCAAGGTCAGTTGAGTGGAAAATGGATAATAAGACTCATCGGTTTATTCCCACTGAAATGTGTGTGGCTGTGTGTGTGATTGTGTGTGTGTCTGGTGTCTGTGTGTCTGTGTGTGCCTTTGTGGGTCTATGTGTGTATGGATGGGTGAGAGCGTATAGATAGCTCGGTGTGTGATTGTGTATCTCTATGCTTATGCTAAGATACGCATATGTATGTATATGTGTAATGCGTCTGTACTTTGTATTATATTGTCTCTGTTTTGTCTTCTATGTGTGTTGTGATTTTTCTCTTGTGAAAAATGAAAAACAATAAAAAATAATTATAAAAAAAAAGAATCATTTTGTGTCTTTTTGAAACCATTGTGTGTCTCTTTTAAAGCATATTTTTGTCTTTGTTGGTCGTTTGTGTCTCTTTGAACACGTTATGTGTTTCTTTGTAGTCATTTTGTTTCTTTTTAAAGTCAGTTTGTGTCTCTTTGTAGTCATTTGGTGTCTTTTTGGAGCCATTTTGTGTTTCTTTGTAGTCATATTGTGCCTCTTTAGAATCATTTTGTGTCTTTTTGAAATTATTGTGTGTCTCTTTTAAGGCATATTTTGTCTTTGTTGGTCATTTGTGTCTCTTTGAACACATTTTGTGTCTCTTTGTAGTCATTTTGTTTCTTTTGAAAGTCAGTTTATGTCTCTTTGTAGTCATTTTGTGTCTCTGTAGTCATTTTGTGTCTTTTTGTAGTCATTTTGTTACTTTTTAAAGTCAGTTTATGTCTCTTTGTAGTCATTTTGTGTCTTTTTGTAGTCATTTTGTTTCTTTTTAAAGTCAGTACTGTCTCTTTGTAGTCATTTTATGTTTCTTTGCAGTCATTTCGTGTCTCTTTGAAGCTATTTTGTGTCTCTTGGCAGTCATTTTGTGCCTTTTTGAAATCATTGTGTGTCTCTTTTAAGGCATATTTTTGTCTTTGTTGGTCATTTGTGTCTCTTTGAACACGTTTTGTGTCTCTTTGTAGTCATTTTGTCTCTTTGAAGCCATTTTGTGTCTCTGTAGTCATTTTGTGTCTCTTTGTAGTCATTTTGTTACTTTTTAAAGTCAGTTTATGTCTCTTTGTAGTCATTTTGTGTCTTTTTAAAGTCATTTTGTTTCTTTTTAAAGTCAGTTTATGTCTCTTTGCAGTCATTTTGTGTCTTTTTAAAGTCATTTTGTTTCTTTTTAAAGTCATTTTGTGTCTCTTTGCAGTCATTTTGTGTCTTTTTAAAGTTATTTTGTTTCTTTTTAAAGTCAGTTTATGTCTCTTTGTAGTCATTTTGTGTCTTTTTAAAGTCATTTTGTGTCTTTTTAAAGTCATTTTGTTTCTTTTTAAAGTCAGTTTATGTCTCTTTGTAGTCATTTTGTGTCTTTTTAAAGTTATTTTGTTTCTTTTTAAAGTCAGTTTATGTCTCTTTGTAGTCATTTTGTGTCTCTTTTTCATATTTTTTTTTCAGGTTGAGTCGTGTTAATTTGAGTGACACTTTGCAGATAAAAGGCCAGGGGCCCCTGACACTTTGGGCTTTAAGGCCTGTGCCCAGCAGACCCATTCAGTAATCCATCCATGCATTAACCTCTCCTGGCAATCACAGGAACCTGAGCACAGTGTCAGTTCAGACAAAGCTTACCAGCATCAGCTGCTTCATTCATGCTTCACCATCAATGGCTCAAATCAGCTGCCTGGCTGCCAGATGATGAGTAACATCCAGTCATATTCATACAGGTGTTGAGCACTGAACCCCAGACCACCCTGGTGAAATCCAGGAATCCTAATCACTAGACCATATGAGACCCCTTGTGTTGTTAACTTTAAAAGACTGTCCCAGTCTGTCTCTCTGTCCCTCCCCTCCATTCAAATCCTATATTCCCTTTCACTGCCATTTTCCATTTATCCACCAGGTGCCCTCAGACTTTCCCTCCTAAATGCCCCGCCCATCAACACCTGCTACCACCTTCCTCATCGGCCCTGCTGTTACCTGACATCCCCGCCCACCTGCTCACCTCTCAGTCATCATCAGCCTCTCAGTTCATATACGGGCCAAATTCTGTTCATTCCCTTCCAGGCTATAAAAGCCGCTGCCCTGCTTTCTTGCTGAGTGTGGGTTTTTTTGAGCCTCGGTTACTCTGACTCTTTATAACTAAGAACATCACTAACTTAGAACTGCAGATAAAGTGCATGCATCTATTTAAAAGATGAATAAAAGAGATTGTTTCAGCTTGAATAAAAGGCGGCAACCACAGGTTACAAAACAAGATCAAACTTTATTTTAAAGAGAACCCTTGACAATGGTCTGGACACACACAAATCAACATTTTGTACAAGTTATCTGCACATTGTGAATTCACTGAAACGTCATAGCACGATCATCAAAGATAAACAGCTTGTCAAACATCATTTTTACAACATTTTCCTCAGTTTTAGGATTCAAACAAACAACAGAGTGTCACTGTCACTAGTAGCTCCAGGCTTCACTCTGTGGGCAAGTCAAGGCAAATCTTTCTATTTCACTCACAGGATGATAGAAAGGGAAGAAGAAAAGAGCTATTCACAAAAATGTTACCACAAAGTCACCACAAATGAGAAAAACACACACAAAACTGTACATTTAGCTGCTGTCTCATCAGAAAGAAGATGAAACATTGATATTACAGGTTTGATTGTCTCAAACTGTGTTACAGTGCAATGGGGCTGTTCTGATGTTCTGAACAGAAATGGAAATGACTCTGACGTCTTGAGCTCTCAGTTTAGAGTCAGTCCTTCTTGATCTTCAGCCATCTTTACCCAGAGTCCACCACTCCTCTCTACACCTGCAAGGAGAGACAGAGAGAAATGTCAGGTTGAAGCATTTAAAGTGGAACAGTTTTCACAGTATACTGTAAGAAAATGGAAACATGCAAGAAGCCTTTAAAGACATGCAAACTTTGTTTTTAAAGCTCAGCAAGAAAAAGAAGATGTACAATGTTTTGTTTGAAGTAATTTACCTGATTTATTGAGCTCTCTGCTTTTTCTCATCCAGATACTTGATGTGATTTCTCACCCATGGCTTGTCTTGGGGGTGGGAGACGCACAGTTTTCTTCCAACCTTTGTAATGAACCTGAAAAAGGAGATGAGAGAAAGAGAAGTGAGCTCAGACTGCAGACGAGAAGACTGGGGGGAAAAAACAACCCATTGCCTAATGAACAAATATTTTGCAGTATTTTGCGTATTTTACTTACGCAGTAGCGCTGATATCGCAGCCTCTTCCAGCTTCCTGAATGTTGTAGCTTACAATGATTTGGAGCGGCAGGGGCCTCTCAGCGACTGACAGACAGCAGTCCACTACAACTTGAGCTGCAGGAAGATGAAGAAACAACAAATGTTTTCTCTAAAATGCCAAAAAGCTGCACTAAAAGCACTCTGAATTATGAATCTGTTTCACTGCTAATGCAAAGTATGTATCTTACCTCTTGCGAACCCAATGCAGATGACACCCAGCAGGAGGAGAGCTGCAATGCGAGAGGCCATGTCTCTGTTTCTTCTTCGTGGCTTTGAGAGGAGGTTGGCTGCTTCTGTGAGTCTCTTCAGGAGAGTGAAGGTGTTCGCTGTGAGGAGGAGAGCGGCTACAGGTGTATTTATACAGCTTTTCCAGTGAAAGTGAAAGTGCGATCGGTGCTCGTTACTGGAAGTGGAAAAGCTGGCAACAGACACACACGTGCCCAGTCAATTACCTCTCCACTCCTTTCTCTCTTGTTCCCTGCCAAAAAATTTCCCTGCATGTCTTCCCTGAGGCAGATCTTTATCAGGGTGTTCGTCTCTCAGGAGAAATACCTTCCACGCTGCATACAATCCATACATGCGTTACAATTACAGTCCATTCACTATGACAGGCATAAATCAACAAATACTGTATGTCTTTTTGCTCTATTGTGCACATCCTGTTATATTTTCAAATCCAATGAATTGCAATCATTTTGTGTTTCCCTGAAATATTTCCTCATGTCAGTGAAAATCACCCATACAGTTGTAGTGACAAGCATATGATAATTAGCCTGACACTGTGCAGTTTGTACATACTGTAGTAAGTCAGCTATAATCTGGTACGGTGCATCAAATGGTGATATTTATGGCAAATGGTAAATGAACTGCATTTATACACCCATCAGCCAACAAATCAAAACCACTGACAGATGTAGTGAATAATACTGACGTTACAATGCAATGTTGTGCTGGGAAATCTTTGGTCCTGGCATTCATGCGGATGCCACTTGAAGCAACATGCAGAACATGCACCAAGCCTCTCCATAAACAATGCTCAGTAATGGTCCAAAGAGTGCAGGGCATCAACCTGGCCTCCAAATATCCCACACACCGATGTAATCAAGCGTCCGTGGGACGTGCCATTACCCCACCTCACAACTGACAGGTGTCAAAGGATCCACTACCAATGCCCTGGTGCCAGACTCAAAAGGACACCTTCCAGAGGCCCTGTGTCCATGCCTTGACAGGTCAGAGCCAAGTCTGATCCAAAAAGGCCCCTCAGTGGATCAGGGTACCTCTGGGTTACCGGCACGTCCCACGAATCCTCAATCAGATTGGGATCTGGGGCATTTGGAGGCCAGGTCGATGTGTTGAGCTCTCCTGAGCCGTTTCTGCAATGGGGCAAGGTGCATTGTTGCCATGAGGGGGGATGTACTATGTCCACAATGGTGTTTAAGTGGGTGCTGCATGTCAAGTAGCATCCACATGAATGCCAGGAACCAAAATGTTCCCAGCAGAACACTGCACTGTAACAAGATGATCAATGTTAATCACCTCGGCCGCCAGTGGTGGCTGATCGGTGTACAGTGCTCTTCTAGTCTTAGCCGCCACTCAAAGCACTTTACAATACAGGCACCATTCACACACATTCATACACTTGTGGCATCGGGATGTTGGGCACATTGGGGTTCAGAATTTTGCCATAGGACACTTCCAAAGTTTATTTCCATTGTGGTTCTTTTGGGGATGAGGGTTGTGCAAAGGAAGGGGTCACTCATTCTTGAGAACTGGGACCAAACCTCACTTTTTGGGGCTGGGAAAATATATTTTGAAAGATCAAAGTCTAAGACTATTAAACATTGTAATGGGCCAACCTCCCAGCTTTTTAAAACCGGCACAAAAGTAAGATGTATTGGCTAATCCAGCACAGCAAAGCATGGATTTCCAAATCTGTTTCATTCTGAGCCAGACTAAATCTCTTGAACAATTTGGCCCTGGAGATCACTGAAGTATCTGCATCCTAATCTGTGAAGTGTTGGCTGTTATGTGAGCTCTGACAGCAGAGTAAGAGCTTAAAACCACTGACCCATCAGTCACAGGTTTCATATCTGTTATCTAAAAATAAAAGGCAAGTAGCACTCAGTATATCACTGTAACTCTTATCAGAGGCCTGCTGGGTTAGTAGTCTGGGGTTTTAGCACCTGAGGACCTGAGAAAGATATGAATCTGAATTTCTAAATTTCAGGTAGTGTAAAGTTGTACTGTAAACCAACATAACTGATCTTACTCTGTCTCTATCCTGTCTTTTCACTAGCAGTCCCACATTTGCTATCAGTGTGTTGACAGAGTGGTTTGGGGATTTTTCATGGAATGCATACGGGCAGCGGCAGCACTTAAGTGAAAGTGTTTATACATGTTTGTACTTGCATCCAAGTCCTAGATTACAATCTGTGAGTGTGGGAGTTGTTGAGAAACAGGACACAAACTCTTCCCGCCAGAAGCGCATGTCTTGCCAAGTGATGTAACCATTCATAACGCCGTGAGGGACAGCGTGTGTGAGGATGAACTTATTTCACAGGAAGTCTTCAAATTTGGATAGATTTCCTGTCAGTCAGAATTTATAGAATTTTATTAAAGGATTAGTTCAAAATTTGGGGAATTATATGTGTTTATTTTTCTAGAGTGACATAAGGTCATCAATAGCAATTTCAGTCTCATTCATCCATTTTCATCCGCTTATCCAAAGCCAGGTCGCGGGGGCAGCAGGCCGAGCAAAGCACCCCAGAAGTCTCTCTCCCCAGCAACACTTTCCAGCTCCTCCCGGGGGACCATGGGGTGTTCGTAGGCCAGATGAGATATGGAATCTCTCCAGCATGTTCTGGATCTGGCCAGGGGCCTTCTTCCAGTGGGACATACCTGAAACACCTCAAATAGGAGGTGCGAAGAAGCATCCTGATCAGATGTCCAAACCACCTCAATTGAGCCCTTTTGACGCGAAGGAGCAGCAGCTCTACTCCGAGTTCCCTCTGGATGTCTGAACTCCTCACCCTATCTCTAAGGCTGAGCCCAGACACCCGGCTGCTTGATCCATGATTTCATTCTTTCAGTCACTACCCAGAGCTCATGACCATAGGTGAGGGTTGGGACGTAGTTGGATGGCTAGTCGCGGACTACCCTAGTGATACCTAAACATAATTTAAGTTTCAGCCTGCTGTGAAGTTTTGGATAGTATTTAAACTATTTGTGCATTGTCCGTTATAAGATTACAGAGCATCGTTTACATCCCACACCACTGGCATTTTACTGTCTTGCAGTTACAGACACTATCAGTATCGTTTCAGCTCATATCATACGAAGTAGCCTTCAGGGTTCTGATGATGTAGCTCATAATTAACACCCCCGCCTCTTTCACATGAAAGCACTCGTGGCTGGATAGGAAAACCCAGAGTTGACTGAATGAGTTGATAACCAGCGTTAGTAGTACAGGCCTCAGGCTAGCTGTTTGCTAAGCTAAGCTAAACACATTCTCCAGCTCTGTACTTAAAGGAACATTTCAGTATTTTGGGAAATATCCTACACTTATTCACTTTCTCGCTTGTGTTGAATCAGAAGGTCGATACCTCTCTTATATTGTCAGATGAATATGAAGCTACCACCAGGTGGCTTAGATTAGCACAAAGACTGACAACAGGGGGGAAACGGCTAGTCTGGATCTGTCTAATGTGAACTAAATCCTTCTACAGAAACCTGTTAAGCTCACTGATGAACACATCCTGCAGTCTGTACAGAAAACAGAGTGTATAAACAACGTTGTGATTTTAGGGGTTATGTGCAGGACTAGCCCTTGAAAAGGTGCAGCACTCTCCTGGAGTCTTGTTGTCATTGTAATGTCGCCACTTGCCAAATATCCAAAGACAGGAAAACACCAAAAAAGCACATTTTTAGTAGGTCAAATGATTCCACTGACGCACGCTGTGGTCCTGTGGTCACCCTCCTTTTAACCACTAATAATGTGTCATTTTGTCACGTACAAAAAAAAATACTTTTACTTCCTAAAATTATTGTGACTTTAACGTGATGCCGACCTTCTCCACTGCACTTTTACACATGCCGTGCGTGAAATATGGTCTCAGCGGGAAGAAATGGAGAAATGACAGTATGAGTCAAAAACAAGTCAAAATGTATAGCTTTGTCTACACTTGAGTCAAAGAACAACAAACAAGAAGTTAATGTTTTTGTTCTTGTCGTATATACTTGTTCAGCATATTGCACTCATTTATCTGGAAACATTCTGAGCTCTGAGAAAATGAACAACAAAAAATCCCCCCGACCACAGGAGGTTTCTATTGTAAATACTGCTGAGAGATTAACTTGCACATCCTGAAGTAAAACTACAAACAAGCAGTAATTGCGTAACATTGGCAGAGGCACTTTTTGGCCGTCGGTTGGAATAAAATGATGGGAATGATCATTTTAATCTGCATGACAACATTAAGTGCTTATTAAAACATCCACCTCTCATTGTCCCACTTAAATTTCTGACATCCTAAACTGTCATCCAGACTAATTGAATCCAGACGTAGCTGCAGGGTCAGAAGCTACCTGAGCACTCAGTTATGTCAACACACCACATAAGCTGGTGTCACTGTAGAGTTACTGCAGGTGGAGGGTATCGATGTGAAGCTGACTGAAACTAAATGAATGCAATGGGTCAGAGCACCTTCACTAACTTTAATCCAATGTGTAAAATGCTCCTCTTTTTAACTCATCACCTGTTTTGTGTTTTGGCTGCGTTCCTAGTACAACACTTTGGAAGAAACACATTGTGCCTCTCTGTCAGCCAAGGTAAGTTTCACAGACGATGCTGGTAGATGATTGGCTGAGAGCCACAGTTTGGTGTTCCAAGATTTGTTCACTTACGTACGATTAAGGAAAGACTATCCAAAGTGCTTTAGAAATCTGCACTGTGGGTTTGTTGTGTTTTTAATTTATGATGCCAATTAGTGACCTATGATAGTAATGAAATATACATGTATTTGTATAAAATGTCATGCTTTATTACTTTAATTGAAGCCATCTTGTAGAATCTCACCTCAACTGTGTCACTTCCTGCATAAATACCCACCTTACCCAGTCCTCCTGTTCTGCTCCAATACATTCTCACTTCGACCTCGTCACACATTGACGTTTGGTCATGGAATTTCCACGTCCACATATGACATGAAAGGTACCCTGGGTGGACACCGTGTCAAGTTCTGCCTGTTGCATGCATTGTCTTCTTTCAAAATACACTTACGTTTTCACAGGAATTTTGATGTTTACATATGGTCTC